TCAATTTTTCGACTTGTGCCATTGATAGGCGATTTAGGTCCATTTTTATAGGCATTCACTCTTAAAGCCCCCATACCTCAAGCCAAAGTTGTACGTTCAATACTCATTTCCGTTTTTTGTTCTATTTCTTCCCCTAAAGAATACATGCTTAAAATTCCTGGCCTCAAGATCATCCGTGTGTATGGCGACCGTAGAGAGCAGGCGGAGTTTCCAATTCCTAACAAACGCCAACCACTAAAAAATTCAACGGACGACGAAACTCAAATTTCAAATGAGGGTAATGAACTGAAAGCAGTCTCACTACATCACGTCATTCGAAGGGATCCCTGTCCGTTTGCCACCGAGCTTGGAGAGTATGAGCGCAAATTTTATGATGATAGGAAGAACGATCTCAGGACCAGTGACAAAGAAGTCGAAGAATACCGCGAAGTAAGAATCGTACTCCTTCGAAGAGACGGTTTTGATTTCAATGCGTCGAAGCTCTAGAATAATAACTCTTTGTTTCAGTAGCAGAACGGCAATGACTTTACTGTCTCCATGTTTGGGCCCCTCCGAAGGGCACAAACATGGCGTCTCCATGGCGTCTTTGAATAACGTGCGAATAACAAACCGCACAAACCTAACTCTCGGCGACATTGTTTACATATCAATAATCTATCATATCCCAGATTCTTGACTAAATTATCGAATGGTTACCATTTCTATTTTTGATGACGTGATAATGAAAACCGGCAATATTTGTCCGAGCCTTGCATTGGACTGACACTTAATTGGTAAGGCCGAGAATTTGGCTGTTTAGTCATAAGGAGTCCAAATTATCTGGTGAAGCTGGATATATGCCCAATTTGTGAGTTTTTAGTTCTGAGTTTTTTGTTCTTTTTTATTCTTTTGCTTTCACAAGCTCATCGGACAGGCCGAAAGTTGGGCTCTTCAAAAGTCTGGAGTCCAGATCATCCTTTGTACATGCGCAGCATCGGGAAAACCCAGGCTAACCAGATCCTGTGACAATATCCAACAATGCATTGTGGATGAATGTGGCATGTGCATGGAACTGGAATCCCTCGTGCCAATCGCGTACTCAAAAGCGCGACAAGTGGTTTTGATTGGTGACCACAAACAGTTACAGCCGGTCATCCAAGACAACTTGGCAATGACACTTGGAATGAGTGTATCTATGTTTGAGAGGCTTTCTGAGCGAGCTAAGATGCTAGAGCTGCAGTACAGAATGGTAAGAGAAGAACCTGTCCTCAGTATATCATTATCTATTGTTAATCTATTGTTTAACAGCACAAAGCGATATACGTGGCACTTAAGATTTATCGCTTCGGATCCCTAACATGAAAACTTCAATAATTCTGTCACAATATATCTCGCACACGTTTTCCCGCGCTTTGCGTAGCTGCATGAATGTGTTTACTTCGAGTTTTTATGGGTTAATTAGATAGTACGCGTCCTGCATTATTGGCTAAAGTGATTACCTTGGTTTTGTTTTTAGACACTCAATTGAAAAACACTTTAAACACTCTTAGCAATTTGTGATTCAACTACATGTGGCTGTTTCCTTTTATTTTTATTTTTATTGTTTATGAAATCGAAATAAAGAACTGTTGCCAGGATTAAACGTAGCAACAGAGCCATAAACCATTAAAATTCGAGATTTCGGCTGCCGGTGTCCAGACTTCAGTAGCCCTCGAAGGCTGTTGGTCGGCACTCGAAAGCAAAAACAAAGAGCTTTGTTTGTGTCTTTTTTTTTTTTCCTTTTTTTGTTCATACTTTTTCGCCTTGTTTATTTTACATCACCGGCTCATAAAGCAGTGATGAAAAGAATGAGTATCCGTAAATTTCCGGGACAGTGTGTACTCCATAAGCGTCTTGAAGATCGGTTCGCAGTTTTATATGTCTTTTGAAACATGCCGTGTGGACGACATGGAATTGAGTAAGGCTAGAATGGAAGCCTGTATTTTTGGCATTATTTTATGGAAGGTGCAAAATCATCGACTTAAGTTAAAACAGGATAAAACCGAGGTAGTGGTGTTTTCATCTGACCATTATTGAGGAGATTGTCAGCTGATCTTCAACTGCAAAAGACAGTCTCCTTCGCAGCCGTTATTAGGGTCGTCACGCAACGCTTCTGGGAGAAGCGTTGCGTGACGACCTTAATAACGGCGGCGAAGGAGACTACAAAAGACAATACTTGGTGATTCTATGTCCATGGTTGCTGTCCTCATACTACTGCCGTGTGCAAATCTGCATTCTTCCACTTGCGTAACATATCCACGATTAGGAAGTTTCTAACGACTGAAACTACTAAAACTCTGGTACATGCCTTTGTAACTTCAACGATTGATTATTGCAACTCTTTGCTATATGGTGCCTCCTAAATATTTGTTGCATAGGCTCCAGCGAGTGTTCAATTTCGTTGCAAGAATAGTTTACCAGTCTGAAATATACGATCACATAACGCCTCTCCTCATGCAACTTCATTGACTACCCATTGATATTGAACAGAGAATAAACTTTAAAATTCTACTCATTATATTCTTTAAAGTGCTACACCGCTTATCGCTTTGGTTATGCTGCCTCCGTCAGTACTTTTGATCTGCACACATTGCCATTTATCTTTAATTTCACAAGATTCATCAGTACCATTCAGCGACCTCAAATGATGAAGAGAACATCTTGGCGTTGCAGGCTAACTACTTCTCATACGCTTGAAAATATTAATATCAAGAAAAACAAGGTCAACGTGATATGTTTTGCTTATCTTTTGCTTTTCCTAGCAAGAAGAAATTTGCAGATTTCCCTCTGAGTACTTTTATGAAGAAAAGTTAAGGACAGACCCGTCGGTTCCAACCTTGGATCGTCGTTTACGATCCTTTTGGCCTGCTCCTGCGAAACCGGGACAGAACTTTCCAATGGCATTTTGCCATGTTGAGGGAGAAGAGGAAAGCAGTTCCATCAAGACGGCACATAGTAATGAACAGTCAAAGGCAAATGAGAAGGAAGTCAGGAAAGTGGTAAGCTTGATGCTATCAAAATGTAACTTATGACTATAGTTATCAAATACTTATCGGCAAGAGATTATCAATCTTACCTTGATAATCTCTTGTTATCGGTTATTTGGTATTTCAAGAATTGCCCTTTCTCAAATACCATCGAAATATCTAAAGGTAACTCGATGGTTACCCAAGCACACCACATGAAGCCATTGAATTTGCAGCTGGGAAGTGCTAGTGTTGGTTTAAAAAGAAAGTCTAGTAAGATGTAAACACCCTCAGGAAGTCTGCATTTAGATTGTATGCTGAGCAAACATGCATCACACGGAGAAAAGTGAAAAATTGAATGAGATTAACCGATCTTCTCTGAACTAATAACAGCCTACTCGCTGCAGTATATAAAAAATTAGACCACCTCTGTGGGCTTACAGGCGCAACAAACCTCGCGGGATGTTGGGAGAACGGCTAACGGCTCGTGATTTACAAGCTTTTCTCGTGTTCTCCCAACATCGCTTTAAAGCTTAAAAACATCTATTTTTGTTTCTAACAGAGCGTCACTAACACTTTTAGCTTCGATCATCTTTCCTTCGTTTGGATTGCAATTAACTCAACGGTATAGCTAACTAACTACACACGTTTTTCCTTACCTTTCGAATGATGTGAGTAATATTAGCAATACAAAACCAAAACAATTGTGGAGAACGTACAGATATTGGCTGTAAGCCCACACTCAGCATTAACTTTACTTGGATTTAAGGGTGAAGATTGCGGGGGATTGGCGGGGGGGGGGGGGGGGGGGGAANTACACGAGATCATCTATATTAATGCTGAAGTATTCTTTGTCAGTTGCAAGTGGCAAGATCCTTAGTCTACAGATACGACGTGGATGCGTCAAAAGTCGTGATTTTGTCACCTTACAGAGAACAGCGAAGCAAAATTAGCGAGTCTTTAAAAAAAGTGTACAGGTGTAAAGATATCCCCGTCACAACCATCGTAAAAAGCCAGGGTAAATTCACTTTTTTATGCTTTCTTTGTATTTTGTTAACGTCTGCTTTTAACTGGAAATCACAGGTATCCCAATTAATGCTTCACATTATTAGCGCAGCACATCCCATATATAATGTATGCCGCGGTTTCCAGTCTGTATCGAGTATTTCTTTCTTTCACTTTTTTGTTGTTTATTGTTGTTTTGGTTGTTGCTGTTATTGTTATTGTTGTCGTTGCTGTTATCGCAATTGTTGTTG